GTATATTGATTTCTTTTACATTTCATCTAGTATGTTTTTTGTAACTGAAAATAGAATCTTAAAAATATCTTTTTAGATTTATTGTATTCTTTTAGTTATATTAAATATGTATAAATTTTTATTTTAAATTGAAATAATATACTAAATGAAATTTAGGACAAATCAAAATACTTTATAATAACGACCGGAAGAAGTACTAATTTATAGAGCTTCGCTCTTAACTGCTCTGCCAAAGAAATTGTCTAATCTTTCACTTAAAAATTTCAATGTAGTGATCAAAATTTATCTGTGTCTCTTTTCTGAGCAAACAATAATAGTTAATAAAGTGTATATACTATACAACACAACTTTGTCGAATCTTTAATTTTTGCTTAAAAGAACATATAATGAATACCAAGTGTTTATTTTATAAATTCCCTAAAGACTACATGAAAATTGCACTTTTAGCAAAAACATTTTTGCTTTTCTTTGCAAATATAAAATGAGATATAACCAAAGAAAAACTATTTTTTATTATTATTAATTAAACACAAAAACGACTTAATTATTAGCTGAATTTTGATAACTAAACCATAGGTTTATGGTATAGTGTAGCTAGCTAGATGCATGTTTTCTTACGTAATAAAATATGCAATTTATTATGTCATTCAAGGATTAGAAACCACAGCAAAAAAGAAAACAAAAAAAAGGGAAGATAATCAAGAATGACAATTATAAAAACCACAGAAGCCAGCTCATAGAAATAGACAAATGCAGTTCGGTGGTTCTCTCTTTTCTTCTTATTCTTTAATAAAAAATAAAAAAAAAAGAAACCAGAGTGGTTGTGATGAAGTAGAAGGAATTTCTCCATTTTTAACCATAAATCGAAGGTTCGAACCTCGCCAGGGACATGGAGCAACTTTAAATATTTTAACCAGCTGTTCTACTCATCGAGATACTTACAATTCAGCGGAAGAATTAGTCACTGTTGTCGACGTAGACACCCTGCAGATAAGAGAAAAATGGTGAGAAATTTGGTAAATTAAAGTCCATTGTATATACCCCCATTTGGAACACATGCTTCGTGAAAGTGATGCTTCTGGACCCCGACAAATATTGCAATTAACGGATTATAATTTTATCATCATTATTATTTTTGGTGCCCTTTTTTCCCTGCCAGCTGGAAACGCTTAATTATTTTTGTTATATGTTAGTAATTTGTTATAACCAATCAATCTTGTGTCTTCAAAATTAGGGAAAATGCAATCACCGACTAAAAAATATTGATTACTGTTGGCAACTTTCGTCTGATTAGAGTCTTTCTGTAATGATGTGACTTACCAAAACCACCTTTTGAAAGAAAAATTCTTCTTTTAACTTTTATTACTGTATTATTGTTCATATGGTCACTCCATCAATGATTGGGAAATAAGGATTTTTTATTTTTCATATCTTGTCTTATAAATTTTTTTTTTCCTTTTTTGTGGAAAAAATAATACCGACAACTTTGCACTTTGAATAATACGGAAAATATTACTCAAAATCCTTGGAAAAAGATACAAATCAAGGTACTTTTCTTTATGTTAGTAATCAAATATGTTACGTTTTATATGTATATATACTCCCTCTTACCCAAAATTATTGTCCAATTTATATTTCACTTTTAATACAATTTGAATTAAAAATTAAAACTCAAACTGGACAATAATTATGTGACGGAGAAAGTACAATTTTACTTGAAATGTAGAGAATATAACGTACAAGATGTACCCATTAGAAATTATTGAGCCAGGAAAATCTCCACGCAAGAACTACGTCTTTAAAAAATAATCTGGCAAGGAATATGCTTAGGAATTAAAAAATAAAATAAAATAAAATTACAAGTTGTCCGATTAATTTTGTTTGAGTCATATAATTAACGAACCAACTACCAAAGCAAAGCATTAGTTTTAATCATTTTTCAAGTGAGTCCAAATCCTCTGGATGAAACATTAAAATGTACATTGAACTTGGCTATATGCGATTTGTACTCTCCAACTTATTTTCTATCTTTACTACTGAGTTATGAAATGTTTTTTTAAATATATGAGTTACAATTGTCACACTATCAATTCTCGCAAGGATTAATTCTTTTAATTTTTTTCTTTTTTGAAGAAAAAAAAAGTAATTCTTTCATCATCACAATAGAACTGAATCTGACGACCCTTCATGAAAAGGGTAGAAAATTCAGCAAATCGCAGTATTTATTTAAATGTATAATTATAAAAAACCTCTCTTTCCTGTCGTTATAAATGTGCGTAAAATTAAATTCACACACACAAAACTCCCTTCTTCATAACTACTGGTACCAGTAGTAAATATACGCATACCATTAAAAAAAGAATTGAATAAGATCAACTGAAAACTGAGGAGAAACGGTGAATAAATTACTCACAAGTCACAAGTACTACTACGTAAAACTGCACAAAATCACCTGGTCATACGCTCAATGTCAATAGTCAAAATTCTAGTACTACTGAATTTCCTCATCAAGGCATCCCCTAAAACCAAAGTACTGTAGTACTAGTACTTACTAGCAGCATTAAACAAACACGGGATTACTTCAAAACCCAAATAATAATAATAATAGTACGAGTAATAAAAAAAAAATTAGAAAATCGCAGTAAATAGGATTAACTGGTAGCAGTAATTGATAATACTAGTACAGTGAGCAGTAAAATATCTGCTGCTCTCACGCGGTTTTGTTCAGCTTCTACTCTGTTCGGTTCACTTCACCATATCACATCAATACCATTTATTTGCTATTATTATGAACTAGCACTTTCCAGTTTACGCGTCTTCTTTCTTCTCCACTTTCCTCTTTTCAATTTCATTTCGGAAGCAAACATGTACTACTACAATTATTTTTGTTTCGTTTTCTTAGTGTGTGTTTTTATGTGTTTTTCATATTGGAAATATAAAAAAATGTATTAAAAATGTAAAAAGATATCATATGACGGGACAGTTATTATTATTTAATTATGAAAAAACCAACTAAAAAAGAAAACAAACAAAACCCTTTTGGAAAATGGTTTATGGGCGAAAAATATATCTTGCAATGAAATAGTAACTGTTATTAAATCGTATTTAATAAGATTTCATTTTTCACTTATTGTATTGTTATTCATAAAAATTTATACTCTCTTTTTCTTACAAAAATAATTCACGTGAAATATATTATTTTCAGTATAATTTACAAATTATAATATGGACTGTTCGAATGGATGGAAGCAGTATAAATCTCAACTTGGCTCAACTATAACACACATCTCAAAGCAATTGTGTAAGTAAACAAACAATTTTTTAGAAAATCTCTTCAGACATTTAAAAAATGTAGGACTATACAGTATGTGAAGTAAATTCTTGAAAGTTTAAACAGTCGCAAAAAGTCTGTTGAGCAAATCTTAATAAGATGATGAGATAAGAAACGAGAGATATGTGTTGAGCATTTCGTGGACGCAAAATCTATTTATTTGATGTCAAGATTTTCATTGTAACATAATCCATTCAATACACACACACACACACACCAAAAGAAAGTCTATTAAAATACAGTATCGATTTATTTTTGAAGCTCCATTTCCTCGTTAATAAAATTTGTTAAATTATTTTTCTAACACCGAAAACGTAATAAAATCCATCTTAACTACAAGTTCAAAAATACTCTTTCAGCCTTTAGGTTTTGGTTATATAATACTCCATTATGAAATTAGGGTTTCAGATGCACTTGGTCCTGAAATTATTATTCAATTAACATATTTAATTTTAATAAAAATTATACTAAAACTAAAAATGCAAAACAAATAATTATATTGAAACATATGAATAGCTACATTTGCTATAAATTTAATTTAATTTTGCACCAAACCACATAAATAAGACTACAGGAAATAATAAAGACTCTAATAATCATACCTAAAGCAAATTCATTTAGTGGAATGGTGAACTTGGCACCTTACAATTGTCAAAACCTCGAACCAGTATTGTTTTCAACTGATTAGTCACTTAAGTTATCCGTTCTTTAAAAAATATGCAAAATTGATTATTTTCTTGTTCTACAAAATCAATTTTGTTGTTTTTGGAACATATGGAATATTGGGAAGCCATTTTCATCTTTTACAAAATTGACTTTTTTACAAGAGAAAAAAAAGGTAGGGTAACCCACAAAAATTCAACCAGTTCCTGGGGAGCACCCACAAGTACAGAATATAGACAGCCATAAAGACATTTCATGACATCCACAGAAACAAGTACACACATGGATTGTATACAGCTCATTCAAAGTGCCTCCCAAAACAACACATACTCACACACCCATAGTCACAACTAATTTGGTTGCATTATGGGTCTTCATTTGAGAGGGCAATTTTGGCAAAAAAAAAAGTTAGTCGGACCGTGTTTTGTGTTTATAAAATCAAATCCTCTCTCTATTTCAAAATTATTGTCCAGTTTCAGATTTACTTTTAGTACAATTTGAACTAAAAAAAACTCAAACTGGACAATAATTATAGGACGAAGAGAGTATTATTTTATTTTTAATAAAAATTAATGACACATTCATAATTATAGAGATTTGGTAAAATGTTTGATCATCAAGTTTTCTGAAAATAAAAAAAATTGTGTTAGTCTACACATTGGTCCTTACTTGAAAAATTGCAATTAATACAACTATACCATGGTCCATGGTAATGGTCCTGTATAATAATTGATTATTACCACTACCATAATTTTTAATCTTACGTTTCACACACACACCCCAAGAATGAGAATGTGAATGAGAGTGTGAAGAAGTAACAGTAAATTAATTAACTAAAAACATCAAATGTAGTACTAGTAGTATACAATTGTTTGATGGTTACTTACTTTACTGTTATTTATCCCCAAAACAAACCTCATTAATTATTATTGTAATTATTATTTTTCAACCCCCCCCAAAAAAAAAGTGATCCAGAAAGTCCAACCCATCTCTCTTCTAGTAAGTAGTTTCATGATTCAAGATTTTCCCTTTTCTCTCCTACGCGTCCACATCTCTCTCTTTCTCTCTCTCTCTAAAATTTGTGTGTAGATTTTGTGTTTTTTTTTTTTTGTTTGAGAATAAAAAAGATTGTCTGAATAATAAAAAGTCCACTCCAGCCAGATTACAGTGCAGCAGAGTCTTAGCTTGTAAAGAAATCAAAGGCCTTTACAACTCTTGGATTTACTCTCAGTTCTTCTCTCTTACTTGTATTTTTTTTTTGGGGGCAGAAAGAAGAACAAAAACAAACCCATTAGGCCATTTCCCCTTTTTGGTTCTCTTTTTTTTTTTTAGCTTTGGAATTGTTTATTGGAATCATTATTGATATATTATTCAGTTTTCCTTTTCTTTGCCCAATTGGGTTTTTTTTGGGGTGTTTTTATTTAGTGCTTTTCTCAATGTGGGAGAGGTTGCTTTTGGGTATCTTCTGATGGGGGTTACATTCATGGCCACATTTTCATTTCTATAACTTGTGGGAGTTTTTCAAGACTCAGTTTTTAGCATACTGAAAAGTGGGTTATCTACAATTGGTTTTTTTAATGTTATTTTGTTGTTGGGGGTGACTGAGTGCCTTCTTCAGTGGGAATTTCTGGCACTGAAATATTGATTCTCTAGGTGGGTTTTTGTGGGATTTTGGGGAGTTCTGGCTTAAGTGGGTTATGCAAAAATGGTGATGGGTACTGGAGGAAGGCTCATTGCCGGGTCTCATAACAGAAACGAGTTTGTGCTTATCAATGCAGATGAGATTGGAAAGGTAGAGCTCAATCAGAGCCATTATTTTGGTTCTAATCCTTGTCTGTTGCTTAACCTTTAGCCATTTGAGCTTGCTGTCCTTTTGCTAGCTTAAATCTGCAATGTCTCTAATTAGGGCTTGTCAAGTTTGAACCGTAATGCAATTTCCCCTTTTTAATTTTCTTTTTCCTTTTTATTCTTCTTCAGGTTATCAATACTAGTCTAGGATATTGGGCTTGAAATAGAAGTGAAATAATTGTAGTTTCCTTCTCCCATAAGAGTCCCTCAATCTTAAGTGGTCAAGAAGTTTTTAGATTTCCTTAATAGCGTTTAATTCATGCGTATTTAGTTCCTTACCTCCTTTGTGGTGTAGACTGTTGGATTAGTACACAACTCGTGTATCTTGACAAGCAGAGTTAGCTCCATTTGTTATTGTCGTTTGTTTGCCTTTTTTTTTTCCCCCCATTCTTGAGCGGTAGGGTTACAGTATTTTTGCCTGCTGCTGCGAAGATATTTGCATTACTTTGAATTTCAGGGTGAAATGAGACACAGAGAAGAGATGTGGTTTGCCTATGTTTTCGTTTCTTTTCTCCTTTTCCCCCTCTGTTGAAGGTGAACACATTGTGTTTTGAAGGAGGGCTAGAATTTTCAATCTTAGCTTTAACCCATGGCTAGTTTCCTATAAATAAACTTGTCGATGTAAGGGTCATGCTCTTCTGATTATGCTTGAACCATTTTTTTATTTCAGAAGGAAAGATATAGGGTGGTTATTGTTTCTTTGCTTTTTTGGCTCTTTTGCCGCAATTGTGTTGCCATTGGTTTTAGTTTTCCTTTTCAAAATTGAAGCTTTGTAAGTGTTGTGAATGGCTGCGAAGTAATAGATTTTTGGGTTCTTATTCTCCTTTTCAGATTAAATCTGTGCAAGAAATAAGTGGAGAAAAATGCCAAATTTGTGGGGATGAAGTTGAAATCAACGATGGAGAGCTCTTTGTTGCGTGCAACGAATGTGCTTTCCCAGTTTGCAGGCCTTGCTATGAATACGAGAGAAGAGAGGGGAGTCAAGCTTGTCCTCAGTGCAAAACCAGATACAAGCGTCTCAAAGGTAAGATTTTTCCACTTCAAAGAAATAACTTGTTGATATTTAAACTGCATAAAAAAGTTAAAGCTGAAGAGTGATGCAATATTTAGGTAGCCCAAGGGTTGAGGGGGATGAGGACGAAGATGATGTTGATGATTTGGAACACGAGTTTGATTACGGAAACATGGATGGACCACTTGTTTATGGTCCATCTATGCGGCATAATGTTGCCCGTGGAGGTCATGCAAGCTCATCCGGGAGTGGCATTTCAGGACAAGATTCATCCCGTGGTATCGATATTCCACTCCTGACCTATGGTGAAGAGGTAGTTAAAAACCTTCTGCTCAACTGATTTCGCATTGTATTCGTTCCCCCTAAAGGCACTCATCAGTTAGTTTGCATATTCTAGATTATATTGCATAGATTTTAAGCTGTCTTCTTCATTTTCAGGATGCTGAAATATCTTCGGATAACCATGCCCTTGTGGTTCCAACATTTTCTGGTCATGGAGCTGGTTCACATTCTTCACCTTTTCCTGATCCATCAGCGCCTGGTGAGTTATTTTTACTCTGCTATTCCAATTTTATGTAGTATATAAAGATTATGCATTGCAACGATGAAGAAATGCCTGTTGTATTTTAGTGCAACGAAGGTCTATGGTTCCAGAGAAAGATATTGCCTTATATGGATATGGAAGTGTTGCATGGAAGGATCGGATGGAGGAATGGAAGAAACGACAAAATGAAAAGCTCCAAGTGGTCAAGCATGAAGGAGAAAATAATGCTGGTGATGGTGGAGAATTTGATGATCCTGATATGCCGATGTAAGTGTTTGATAGGTTGTCTTCTAATGTTGATTCTTTCTTGCCATCACCATTTTCCAGATGAAAGCAGCCTAATATTCACTATTTTGATTGATACATTTTCATTGTAAGAGAAATATGTTTAAATATCTGTCAGAAGTAGCCTCATGTTTGTGTTTTACCTTCTCATTCAGTGTTTTCTTTAAATATTTAGCAGATAACTTGGGTTGCTACATTTGCTCTTACAGTATGCTCTATTGTGATGCATCTAAAATTAACATCCACAATAACCTATGTTGACCAAACTTCTCAAAACAGATTAGAATTGTGGCTGAATGACATCGTAATACATCTAGGTGATAACAGAGCTTGCTATGGATTCCATTATGTCTAAGAGTCCAGGAGGTTTAAATAGTTCTATCAATGAAGTATGAAGATCTGGGATAACTTATGCCACTTATATTTATGATCTTTAGTTGAGTAGGAAGCTGATAACCAACGTTATTTCTCCCTCATGATCAAGCTTTTCTGTCAGTAATGACGCATTCCCAATTCCATGATTACGTGGAACTCTTAAACTTTCAGTTGATCCTTAAGTTACTAAAAATATATTATTTACTTAGAGTTTGGTCCATACTCCATGAAGTTCTTTATCAGTTGTAGCCTCTGAAAGGAGGAAATACCCAAGCATTGAGTGAGAAACCCATTACCTTTTGGTTGGAGAGAATTTAGGCTCCCAGTGGGCCACATCTGGTGGTGTTTGAATTTGTTTTTTTTTTATTTTTTTTATTTTTTATCATGGGTGAAGTATCAATTTTCTTTTTCTGTTGTGGTTTTAAACTTGTCTTTTCCTCTCACTCTATTCAGCATGACTTTGTAGGCAATCTGTGTGTGGAATTTCAGTCTGTCACTTGATTATGGAAAGATTTCTCTCGAAATGCAAAAAAATTCTGCCCTTTTATTTGTTTTTTGATTGGCATATCTCTTTGTGTGCATTTAACCAGGATGGATGAAGGGAGGCAACCACTTTCAAGGAAGTTGCCAATTTCGTCAAGCAAGATAAGCCCCTACAGATTGATAATATTAGTTCGTCTTGCTGTTCTGGGCTTATTTTTCCACTACAGAATCCTCCATCCAGTCCCTGATGCATATGGGTTGTGGATGACATCAGTAATTTGCGAAATATGGTTTGCATTATCATGGATACTGGATCAGTTTCCGAAATGGCACCCAATAGAGCGAGAAACTTACCTTGATCGGCTCTCTCTCAGGTAGTTAGGTCAAAGATGGTTATTAGGCGCATTTTAAAGTTTACTATTTGAATTAAGTTGACAAAGCCTTGCTGGAAATTTTTCCCATCTAGTTCATGTGTGAAAGTTTCTTCTTTCTTATTTTTTGATTTTCTATTTCCTAGCTTATTAGGTGTTTGGGTCTTTGAGCATTGATCTTATTTTTCAGGTATGAGAAAGAAGGAAAGCCATCTGAGCTAGCTGCTGTTGACGTCTTTGTCAGTACGGTTGATCCCATGAAAGAACCTCCATTAATCACTGCAAACACTGTTCTATCTATATTAGCAGTGGATTATCCAGTCGAAAAAGTTTCATGTTACGTCTCAGATGATGGTGCGGCCATGCTTACTTTTGAAGCTCTTTCTGAAACATCTGAATTTGCCAGGAAGTGGGTCCCCTTTTGCAAAAAGTTTAATATTGAACCACGGGCTCCGGAATGGTATTTTTCTCTGAAAATTGATTATCTGAAAAACAAAGTCCATCCCGAATTTGTGAAGGAGAGAAGAGAAATGAAGGTTTGCTAAGTTTTTTCGAGTTTGACATTTATCCAAGTAGATGATTTTTGGAAAAACATTGCTGGAATATTGATTGTTTCCACTTTTGGCAGAGAGAGTATGAAGAATTTAAGGTCCGAATAAATAGCTTGGTGGCAATGGCCCAAAAAGTTCCTGAGGATGGTTGGACAATGCAGGATGGAACCCCATGGCCTGGTAACAGTGTTCGTGACCATCCTGGAATGATCCAGGTGAGCTTTGCCTTCTCTACGCAATAATCTGGGATGTTTGGATGAACATTTCTAGACTGCAATCTGTTTAGTGTACATGTACTTTCTAACATTTTAAAACTTAAAACACTTGCACACATAACAGCACAGAGATCTAAACTTAGGAGCATTAATAAGAGTCTTCTGCATAAAAATTGAAATAGGAAGTGAGAAATATTTGTGTTTTTTTTTTTTTTAAGTGCTGAAGTATGCACAAGAAACATCTTCTTTATACATGCTGTGTTGCTGAAATTTAGTAGATTTTCCTATGTATCATGCATTATCATCATCTTTTATTTTGATGAGACTCTTCTCTTTGATTTTTATTACTATATGTCTCGTTTTTTTACTTGAATCTTGTGGAAATTGGCCAATGCACAGTTTTAAAATTTGATTCTTTTGATTTATACAGATTTTTCTTGGAAATGATGGTGTATCTGGTGTTGAAGATGTTGAAGGAAATGTGTTGCCTCGTTTGGTTTATGTTTCCCGTGAAAAGAGGCCTGGTTTTGACCACCACAAGAAAGCTGGAGCGATGAATGCTTTGGTAAGACTCAATTTTTAACTCATGGGATTCATACACTCAGATAAACCAAATGGTAAATCTTCCTAAAGGCAGAAAAGAATATCTTAAATGGAGAAAAATAGTAAGTGTAACTAAGCCATTTAAAGAAAATTATACCACTGTCTGGAGTTGGATGAAGGGATTATATCTGTCATTTTATCAACCATATTATGAAATCAGACAAAATGATACGATACACATTCTTTTTTGAAGTTGTGGTTGTTGTCTATATACAAGGAAAGAGTAATCAACTTTTCATGTCTTCTTATGCATTAACAATTGGTGTGGTTCCAGGTGCGCGTGTCAGCCGTTGTCTCAAATGCACCATTTCTTCTCAATGTGGACTGTGATCATTACATTAATAATAGTAAGGCCCTAAGAGAAGCCATGTGTTTTATGATGGACCCGACTTCAGGGAAGAAAGTTTGCTATGTTCAGTTTCCACAAAGATTTGATGGAATCGATAGGCATGACAGATACTCAAATCGAAATGTTGTTTTCTTTGATGTAAGTATCCTACGCGGTTGAGCCTTCTGGCATCAATTGTTCATATCGATTCCTCTATGGAGATTTTGATTTTGCTGTTTCTTGCAGATCAATATGAAGGGTTTAGATGGATTGCAAGGGCCTATATATGTGGGAACAGGTTGTGTTTTCAGAAGGCAAGCACTTTATGGTTTTGATGCTCCTAAAAGCAAGAAGGCACCAAGCAAAACCTGCAACTGCTGGCCCAGATGGTGCTGTTTATGTTGTTGCTCCAGAAAGAGCAAGAATGGAAAAGCGAAAAAGGATAACAAGAAAAAACCAAAGCACAAGGAGACCTCTAAGCAAATACACGCTCTTGAAACCATTGAAGAAGGAATTGAGAGTAAGACTTCCTTTACAATAAAGCGTTTACTGTTTTTTCCTGAGTAAAATGGTCTCCACAACCAAGAAGTGAATATGTGCTTTCTGTCTGGTGCAATTCTCTTTCATGAACCTCTGTATAAATGATTGATGATTGTATAGGGCTTTTTTGTTGCAGCAGCTTTGGTGATAAGATTGATTTTCATCTCAGATATATTTTTATTAAGGATTCTAGGACTGGAAAGTATCCATCTTTAAATTTCTTCTATGCACTGCCAGAAACTTGTCCATCGTAGGAATTTGCATCTGTTTTAATTGAAAAGCATGAATATGTACATCTACCTGTAAAGGATAATAATATTTTTTTCCTTGCAGAAGAAAACCCTGAGAACGCTTCTAGAATAAAACTAGAAAAGAAGTTTGGCCAGTCTCCTGTTTTTGTTGCCTCTACACTGCTGGAAAATGGTGGAGTTCCCAGGGTTGCTAATCCTGCAACATTACTGAAAGAAGCCATTCATGTCATCAGCTGTGGCTATGAAGATAAAACAGAATGGGGAAAAGAGGTGAGCTATTTTCCAAGTCCCAAGATCCTTATATTTGGAAATCTTTCATTTTATGTTGTATTCTGAATTTTCTTTTCTGGGTTTAGGTTGGGTGGATATATGGTTCTGTCACAGAAGATATCTTGACTGGATTTAAGATGCATTGTCATGGTTGGCGATCTGTGTATTGCATGCCTAAGCGGCCTGCTTTCAAGGGGTCAGCCCCCATAAATCTTTCAGACCGTCTTCATCAGGTTCTTAGGTGGGCTCTCGGATCTGTCGAGATTTTTATGAGCAAACATTGTCCTCTTTGGTATGGTTATGGAGGTGGGCTGCATTGGCTACAGCGATTCTCGTACATCAATTCTGTTGTATATCCTTGGACTTCCGTACCTTTGCTGGTATATTGTACCCTGCCAGCCATCTGTCTCCTAACTGGGAAATTTATTGTTCCAGAGGTACGTTTGTTCACCTGATATTCTGATGCATCAAATGTTTTGAGCTTTCTCTAAGATCTTCAAGCTGATCGACCAAGTTTGTATATGCAGATAAGCAATTACGCCAGTATCATATTTATTGCACTCTTCATCACCATTGCCGTGACTAGTTGCCTTGAAATGCAATGGGGTGGTGTGAATTTAGATGATTGGTGGAGAAATGAGCAGTTTTGGGTAATTGGAGGTGTTTCGTCACACCTTTTTGCTCTCTTTCAAGGTCTGCTCAAAGTTTTGGGTGGTATTGATACAAACTTTACTGTCACTTCTAAAGGAGGTGACGATGGGGAGTTTTCCGAGCTTTACCTATTCAAATGGACATCACTCTTGATTCCTCCGACGACTTTATTGATTATAAACATTGTTGGAGTTATAGTCGGGATATCTGATGCTGTTAATAACGGATATGATTCTTGGGGTCCCTTGTTCGGCAGACTTTTTTTCGCCGTCTGGGTCATCCTTCACCTGTATCCATTCCTCAAGGGTTTGATCGGAAAGCAGCAGAGGACACCTACAATAATAATCGTCTGGTCAATTCTTCTGGCATCCATTCTTACACTCTTGTGGGTACGAGTAAACCCATTTGTTTCAAGGGATGGTCCGGTACTGGAAATTTGTGGATTGAACTGTGACGACTGAAAACCGCGGACTCCAGTAAAGCGAAGAAGTGAAGGACTTAAGGTGGAATCTCTCATTTGGATGATTCCCTTGTGTTGCCAGACACAAGAACAGACAATGCTGGCATGTTTTTTTGGCATGAAGAGGTATGAACTACACGGGTAGAATAACGCTGTAGATATGAAGCAAAAATTGCAAGCTGACAAATTATTTTTGTTCCAGGATGGTGTTCCATTCCCTCCGATTCTTTTGTTGAATTATATCATCTGTACCAGGTTATTTTTTTGGGTGTCTGTAATTTTTGTCCGTGCATATATTGTTACAAGTCATCCCCCAATTGATGGGGTAATTTAGTGTGTAAAAGTTATACTCAGATATATATAAACCTATTTCTCTTTGATGAACTCTGAAGAATGTCTTTTGTCTTTATTAGTTTAAACCTTGAGAGTGATTAAAAATAGATTAGGGTAGACATTTTTTTTTAATTCCTGTAAGGTATAACACGGTTGCGATCTCCTTTGTTTGATTCAAGTCATGGCTTCATATACACTGCAACACTTTCCTTTGTTTCTTCTTGTTGTCATGTCTCATATGCAATATGATTGAGTACCCTCATGACGACTTCTTTTGTGATAGGTGTCATTGGCTTGTGCCTCTTTTTTCTTATTCCACAAATCATTTTGGCAGGCCAACATCATCATGATCACATGATCCTTGTACTTGTTATATGCACCATCCATAATTTCATCTTGCGTTTGCTTTTTTATTTAGCATCATCTTCTTGGCATAAGCCAATATCTCTCTGCTTTTGTTTTTAATTTCATCTTCATCCGCAAAGAATCTGTATAGCTAGAGCAGCAACTATTTCAAAATCTGCAACTTTATTTGCCTTGGTTATTTGGGTCTGCTGTACCAGAGTTTAATTTTTGCTTATTCTTTTTAGCACCATCAGCCTGTAGCTTCTTCATTTTACTGTCAAATTCCTGCATGATATCATCTTAATTGCGACATTTTCCCGATTTTGATTGCTTTCTGCATGAGGGACTAGAAGAGGGTTTCACTTCATGATCACCCACATCATTGCCAAAATCTTGATCAGAATCGATCACGAATTCATCAACTATGATCACCTTAAAAAACGATGAGCTTCTTCATTTTTCTTTTCCATTCTTTCTTTGCTTTGTTTTGTTGGGGATTTATCTGGGAGAGAAAAAACGACATGCAGCCCAATAAATATAAGACTCATCTGAACTCAAAAACTCAAATTAATTGGTCCTGAGTCTATCATACTTATTAACTAATTTACATGCCATCATGTGTATATCAGCCCACTTTTTATCAGTCATATCACTTGACCTACCTTCATCTCCTGGAACAGGATCAAACGAATCTTTGCAATACAACAAATCTTTTGCAATATAACAAATCTCCTACTCTAGACTTCCACATATGATAATTGGATGAAGTCAATTTAATCATCGTACTAGCACCCGATGACTCTTCCATTTTATTGGTGTAACACCTCAACTATCGAACCGTAGCTCTAATACTACAGTTGGGGATTTATCCGAGAGAAAAACTCCGACATGTTGTCCAGTAAGTAAGATAACATATATGGACTCAAAAACTCAAGGCTAATGGGTCCTGAGTTCATCTTATTTATTTAGTGATTCACATGTTCTCATGCCTCTGATATGGAAATCATGACTCTTGCCACATGACCCTTAACATTCTCCCCCGTCATGAATAATCTCCACATCGGGATTCCAAATTATCTTAACAAGTCCAAATTTGTGCTCCACCTGAGTAACTGGGCCGCCCATCCCTACGCTTCCGCTCGTAGTGGGCCTTTGACTACCTGGGTTCAGTCAGATCAAACAAATAATTTGGACTAAATCACCCACCCAACTGGCCCAACCTGGGCTCTGATACCACTGTTGGGGATTTATCCGGGAGAGAAAGCCCGACTTGCAACCCAATAAGTAAGATAAGACTCATCTGAATTCAAAAACTAAAGCTAATGGGTCTTGAGTTTATCTTACTTATTAACTGATTCACATGTCTTTATGCCTCCGATGTGGAGATTGCCCATGACGGGAGAGAATGTTAAGGGTCATGTGGTAAGGATTGTGAATCCCATATCGGAGGTATGAGAACATGTGAATCAGTTAATAAGTAAGATAGACTAAGGGCCCATTAGCTTGAGCTTTTGAGTTCAGATGTGTTGGAGTCCAAGGCGTTGTTTCTTGAGAAGATCCATACGGATGACAACGGTACTGATATGTTGACAAAGACTGTGAGTAGAGATAAGCTCCTGTTTTATAGACAGGAAGCGGGTTTGGTTTTACCTCCCAATTGAGGTGAAGGGGAAGATTGTTATGCCGGTGTCCCCTTCACTTGGGCCCAGCAAGGTTCGAAACCAAAATTCAAGTTGGATTTGGTTTGTTTGACCGAAGGTAAAAAAAACAAGTCTAATTTAGACCAGTTTTTGGGATTTGGCCATGGGTTATATAAACCCTTGGTCCTTGTTCTTTTTTAGTCGTGAGTTCATCAAAAGAAACGGGCAGCCACATGTTAGGTTTGTGTGAGGAAAATTCAGCCGTGCATAAGCTTTGTGCGCGAGAAAAAAGGGAGAGAAAACTAAAGTATTGGGTTCTGGTGTTGCGAGAAGAAAGTGTTTCACTTTAACGCTTTGATCGGGTGATGAAACATAATCAATTATTGGTGCAAGTTTGCATGTGTGTTCCTCTCAACAAGATCTACAAATCTTCCGATTTAGTTTTCAGTTTAGTTCTCTTTTGGTGAGATCCTTCTAATCCTACTTTGTGATAGGTGTGTGTGAAAGAGTATTGTTGTAATCCACCTTTGGATGAAGTCTTGGTATCCACCGGTTGGTGAAGATTGTTTTCTCATAATTGTGATAGTGGATATTTGGCTGTTGTTACAGTCCCGTAGTTTTTCTAGATTTGGATTTTTCACGCAAATCTGTGTCTACTTTACTTCATCATTTCTTGAATTATTTGCTTGTTTAGTTGGTTTGGTTGGTTGTCCTATTTTATTGATAGTAGGAAAGGAGTTTTCCTGAGGTTCGTTTCCGCTGTTTGTTGTGTTTATGCCCTTTCCGCCACAACATATTTTTTCCTTTCAAGTTTACCTTCGTACTTATTATTATCAACAGCGGACCAGATCTATCTTTCCTAGGGCTGTCAACGAACCGAGCATTTCGCGAGCAACTTGCGAGTAGCTTGGTCAAGCTTGGCTTGAATTCGGTTTGACCGAACTCGAGCCGAATTCGAACAACTCGATTAAATAGACGAGTCGAGTACGAGTATCAAAATGCTTGATTCGAGAGCTCGTCGAGCCTATTCGAGCTTATTATAAATTATTTTATTTTTATTATGAATAATATTTAATTCATGAAAACTTTCCTTTTTATTCCTTAACAATTATTGTCCTTTATATTTTGAAGATATAATAATAAGATATACATATATTTCATTACTTCTCAAAGAAATTTGCTCATAGAACACATAAATTGAACGTGTTGAATTAAAAAACGATAAATATTAAAATTTATTCGAGTTCAATATTATCGAGCATTCAAGCTCAATCTTTATCGAACACAAAAACTCGAGTCATTTGAGCCGAGTGCGAACTATTCATTTTTATTTTGAGCCAAACTCAAACTTCAATTTAGATGTTCGACCGAGTTCGAACTCAATACGAGCTTTAAATTTTTTGTCGAACTCAAGCTCTGGCACCTAACTGTTTGGGCTTGACTCGGTTCATTGACAGCCCTAATCTTTCCCCTTATCGAACACAAAGGTGAATAATTCCTGGTCAGTATAATTATCCATTTCTAAACCCAATTGCATCTCTGTCTTTGTCAATTCGCATCAAACTTTTCTCAAGCGATCTTGTTGCATTTGAAACCGTACAAATGAGAGTTTTTCCTCCCCTTCTTTTTCTATGTAAAAGGAAATTGGAAACTTGGTGAGGAATATAAGATCATTATGCATATTGTTTTGAAGGGGAAAAAAAAATCATTAAGCACATTCTATGTGGATATATACATAGAAAAAACAATAGTAATTTTTTTTTTGAACAATCAAGGATACCGAAACGGCGAAACCTGAAAAAATAAAAATAGTAATTTAAATATTGATACTTCAAATATACTTTCAGAATTAGGCCTTTCAAAGGCAAATTATGTATACAGGAAAAACAACATTTCATATCACCTGCAGAAGTTAGATTCTTTTCGAAATGCACACATCGTACAGAAGTTAAACAATTGTAATGGTCACCGTTTCTCTAATTTTGAAGAGCATTTAGTACAACAAAATGGTATCCCAAATTAATCAATGATTTATGTAAAAGAAAGCTGGAACAAATTTAAATACAGTACTTATCATGCATGCATAGTGTTTGATTTCAAAGGACCCAATTTCTACATTCCTTTGAGGCTGCACCCTTCAAGTCTGACCAGAGAATTTAATTTTTAAAAAAATTCTTACGGAATAATAACTTAATTGGTAGCAATAATATCATCATGGCTAGCGAGCTTGCAGTAAAAATACTTTTATAATTCTCAAAATATCGGGTGACTGTTGTATATCTCTACATTGATTCACCAAGAATTATAAAGATTTAACTAAAGAATTCAACTGCCTTATTGCAAGATCGATCATCACTGGAAAACAAGGTAATAATACTATCCTAAGTCCTAATCAATGAAAACTAAGAATGTCAAAAGAACTTAAATTCTTCATGACCTGATCTTCTTTCTTTGCGAAAAATCGTTAAAGATAGGTTTCGTCTCCATATAGATTTTATATATAGATCGATACCTTCGTTTCTTAGTCTCAAATCCATCAACAAGACCAACATCAGCAACAACAACATTGAGATTAATATCTTCCCTCTTGCTATTGCTGGTTTTAGTACTACTAGTTGAACTTTCGGCCGTATGATCATCGTCTTCTTCGTCGCCGCTTAGTTGCATGAGTTGCTCCGCTGCTGCAGCTATCTCCGAGTCCATTTTCATTTGCAATGATGAAATCAAATCCAGAATTGTATGTTTGTGTGTGTGTGTGTGTGTGTGTGTGATTTATCACGAATTGAGAAACAAAGATTAATAATGTTGAGGACTCATGAGGAGGGTTAATTTTTCGTTATTTATGGGGTTTTAAGGATTCTTGCGATTGCAAAGCGCGTGGAAATGATACGTGTAGTTTTAGTTTGGAGTTTTCTTTTGAGAGAAACTGCTTTGTTCTTGCATGGAAGATGGAAGGAAGTGCTCGAGTCTATTTTCTTATTTCTTTAGGATACATCATACATACATTCTTTTTTGAAAATTTTTTTATACTTCTGCTAATTTTAAGTTGATATAGTAATAAGGTAATTTATGTCCAAATTTACTTTTAATCCCTATGATTTAATGAAAATTTCAGTTGTCGTTTTAATCAAGGATAATCATGTCATCAACTTAACATTCAAGTAATTTAGTTAAGTTACACGAGTTGTGAACATAACTTTTATTTAAGGCAGTTAAGTCTCGAAAAAAAAAATTCACTTGAAAAAAAGAAAAAGCAAAAAGTCAATTTTCCCTAACTTTTTTACTGTTTATTATGTCTCGGTAAAATTAGAAAGAAAGAATTGTTCGAGTCCAATAACTAAACTAACTAAATGCACACTTTGAAGGTTATCAGAGAGTAATAAAGAGAATTTTTGACACAAATTGATTTAGACGACCACATTATAATTTATCACATTAATAGGCTATTAACTCGTTATGCGCAAAATGGCTGTTCTGGAATTCAAACAACCATGAATTTTAAAGGTGGAGGGCCTTTTATAAATCTTCTGACGTTATAAATTTGTACGTTAAGTAATTATCATTATCAAGCTTACGAAACAACTTTTTTTAATGCTTAGTCGTTAATCAAATTGCAAAAACGCGTTTGCATTGACTTTGATCTTGTCTGCTGATACTGGGCAGTTTCTGTTCGAGTGACTTTCAATCCCATAACTGGGGCTTTGAAATTTTGATCTTCCACATAAGTAAAATGATAAAGCATAAATTATCGAGTACTCCTTCTCAAAATTATTGTCCAGTTTTGATTTTGATTTTTGATTTAATTTGTACTAAAAATGAAAACTCAAACCGGATACTAATTAATTTTGGGACAGATGGAGTAAATGATACTTTTGAAACTAAAAGGTTCATCAAGTAATTTATTACTTTTAAGAAACATAATTCAATTTGGAAAAATAGAATCTATAAACTAGATATGAGCTTTTATTTATCAATTTTATAATAATTTTTGTAGATAATATAGATTCCGTAAAATCTAACTTAATATTTTAATTTATAAAATTAAATTGTTTGTTAGGAGATGGAGGAGGAAGTAATTTTATGGGACTCAAAAGGAGCAGCCCATGGTTAATACTAAAAACCCTGAGTCATAACCAACCACATTTGATTTTGACGTTCTCCCTCCGCCACAAAAAAATATTTTGCATTAAATTTGCAAATTGCAATATAGACTATTATATTATGGAATAGAGAGTACTATAAGTAGCATTTAAATTTCACTCGTTCGAAAGAATAACCCAGATAATCCAGCCAGACTGCCGGAGTGTTGAGGATTTTGAATAGTGGCTATTCAGGTTGACACACAACTCAGATCAGAAGAACACAAACAATTGTGGTGTTCTGTACTAATTTGAGTTAAATTTTGCTAGATTCTTATTATCAATATATCAAGATCCCAATCCAACAATGCTAACACCATGTTCATAACAAGAATCAGTGTGATTCGATGAATCTACCTCTCCTTTGAATTGTAATTCCAGACAACTTAACACTTCATCAATCAGGGCGATTTCAGGATGAAATCGGTCATCCACTCTAAACGTGTGGCTTTTTCCTTCGACTTGAATGATGCTTTCCCCGGGATACTTCCTCACTTGATTGCCTTTCATTTTTACTCGAATCAAAGCGACAGAATCCCATTTTCCCGCGGAAGCATATATGTTGGCCATTTCGACATAAGGAGCTGCAGCCTGTGGTTCTAGATCAAAAAGGCGATCTGCTGCATACTGACCAATGACTGAGTTCCGATGTATCTTGCAAGCATTAAGCAATGCTCCCCAAATCCCGGCATCAGGTTTACAGGGCATACTTTCTATGTACTCCAATGCTTCCTTCAGTTTTCCTCGACGTCCAAGTAGGTCAGCCATACAAGCATGGTGATCCAAACTAGCTTTTATTTTAAACTGGTCAATCATCATATCAAGGAATTCCCATCCTTTTTCTAGTAAACCTCCATGAACACAAGCCTGAAGAACTGCAATAAATGTAATGCTGTTCGGTTTTAAACCCGAATGCAATAACAGATCAAAGCAGTCCAGCGCTTTTTTTGGTTCTCCATTCAGTGCGTACCCTGATATCATAGTAGTCCAGGAAACTATAGTCCTTTCCTCCATTGTTAGAAAGAGTTCCTCTGCATCTCTTAGACTCCCACACTTGACATACATATCCAGCAATGCATTGCAGATCATAACATCACTCTTTAATCCTGCCGACATGGAATAGTTGTCTATCCATCTCCCAGTCTCAAGTGCTCCAATCTGGCCACACGCTGAAATCAAATATATGATGGCGACTATATCAGGTTTCTCTCCGGCAGCTTCCATGGAGTTGAACGAGGATATTGCCTCCTCTAGATTTCCTTTCTCAGCATAACTACCGATCATTACAGTCCAAGAAATGCGGGTCTTATGCATCATGGCATCAAATACCCTTCGAGCAGAAGTTACATCTTCACATTTGGAGTACATGTACACAAGCGTATTAAGGACAGAAACATCTGAAAAGCAACCTAACTTAACTCCATGACAGTGAATCAACTTCCCTTGAAATAAAGCATCAGGCTTCACAAATGATCCTAGCAAGTTCAGAATGGTACTCGAATCAGGTCTAAATCCGGCATTCAACATCTTCGTGTATAAACCCATTGATTTAAAGCCTTCCCCTGCACCCGCACATCCTGCAATAATCGAATTCCAAGATACAACTGTCAGGGATTGAGAATCAATCCCATTAAACACCATATCAGACAACGGCAAATCACCACATTTTGCATAGGCAGAGATCCAAGTGTTAGCCACCAAAACATCCTCTCCCAACCCCAGTCTAATCCCTAAGCAATGAACACTACTCAGCAGTCGGCCATCCTTCAAACCAGACGCCAGCTGTGTCAACCCCATAACCGTAACTGAATCTGGCCTGAACCCACCAAAAAGCATTCTATAGAATAAACCCAAAACCCTAACAACAAAACCCACCTGTACGAAACCCATAAGCATAGCATTCCAAGCGGTAACATCCCTGTCAGGCATTCCCTCAAACACCTGATAAGCATATTCCACTTTACCACATTTCACGTACATGTCAACCAGAGCTGTCTGCACATAGATATCTGAACAATGGGGTGACTTCAAAATATGGGGGTGGATGATGTAAGATTGTTTCAGGTTCGAAATCTTGGCACAGGCTTTTGCTATGAAGGGAAAGGTCAAGTGATTGGGTTCTAAGCCGCTTAATTTCATTTGGCGGAAGAGAAAGAGTGCTTTGTGGGGCTGGCCGTCGTTCACCGCCGCCTTTATGCTCGTATTGATTGAACTTACAGTCGAAAAACTTGACATTCCTTTGACAATTCGAGTAGTGACCATAGATTTTAGCTTCCACATCTCTCATTTTTTTTGTTAAAGGTGGAGACTTTTACTCCTGAATCTGTATTTTGCTCTAAAAAATCTAAACCTTTATCTATAGTTATTAATCGCTTCCCCTTTTTTGGTTGCATGATTAAATTAAAGGAAATAAAAGTGACAGAAACAAAAAAACAAATCGCACCCCATTAGAAGACAAAATGTTCGTGGTGAAAAATCAAACATCTTTTACAACAACAACAAATGTTCTTCATCAACTACGTAAATAACAATGGCCTAAACGTAATTGAGATTGTAACAAATGTTGTTAAAAACAGAGACATTGGCCATTGAATCATTCCTCCGGCAGCCTTCGATTGAGTAGTTCCAGGAGCACAGTCTCTGGTGGCATTGAGGGCCATGTTACAAATGCAGGTCATCCCCTGAGTCTCCACGTCAAACCCACAAACCCCTCCGGACTTCTCACACCGGCCACATCCCGTCTCCGGCGGCGTCCCGTACGAGAGCTTCATCCCGTACGTCCAATCCTGCGGATCCACTCCCTTTAATTGACCATCCTCTGTATTGTAAACACTCGTGTAATGGGTACAATCCAATATATTCATACTCATGTATCTCACTGTATCATAACCCGTAAAGCAGCACGGCGGCGGAGCTCCCTCGTTCGCCGGAGTAGGCGAAGTAGCGTTGTACAAAGTCGCCGGCGACGACGACGACGGCGACATGTGGAAGAGTTTGAAGGAATTACAAGAGGTGTAGAGCTCGTCACAGGAATGGCCGGCGAAGTTGTCGAAACAGAGGGATTTGTAATGGTTGAGAACAGGGGAATCGACTGAGCAGTTAACAAGGACGAAGATGGTGTCGGAGGAAGGCGGGATGATGGCGGCTTGAAGGTCGGTCATGATGAAGTCATGGTGGGGTTGAAGGATGGAGCAAGTCGACATACCCGGGTCGTAAATGTTCATGGTTTTGGCAGAGTAATCTATGGATTGGACTTTGTAGTTGCCGGAAGGAGTGGTGAAGAATAACGTCTCTCCTCCTCCTCCAGCGCCGGCAGCAGGGGCGGCGATGACGGCGGAGGAGGTGGAGTTGGGAGGTGAGGAGACGGAGGAGACGGAGGAAGAAGCAGAGCAGTTGAGCATGTGGCGGAACTGAGGGGCTCCGCAACCGTCGTCAATGCCGAATGGGTACTTGATCGGAATGCCATTGCAGGAGCTCCGGCAAGAACAGAGCACCGGCCGGAGTACTGGGTTATAATCATTTAGTAATAGTAGCACAACAATGGCAGCTAACAGATTCAACATTTTGGAAAACTCTCTGAAGAATGGCACCGGAATTACTAATGATCATGTAGTAATAATAGTACTGTAGTAGTTTGAATTCCTAGGATACTTGAAGAATTTTTGGGTCTGTGGGGTTCCAAGAACAAAGTGACATAATTTTTTAAGTATTTACATTTTTTTTTTTCTCAAATAAGCACCGAACTTGGCACCAAAAGAAGGCCAAAAAAAAAAAAAAAAGGGCTTGGGAAGAGCGTGGGTGTGGACTGTGGAGTGTGGAGTGATAAAGAATAGACATTTGTGGGACAAGGTCGCCGTGAGTTACTCTCGACAAATGTGTGCTTTTTTGACTTTCAAGTTCCACCACTGGGATACTCGGAGTGAGCATGTCCCTAGAGTTTGATTGTAATTATCTGCTGCCTCAGGTATTTGTTATAAGGTAATACTATTTTGATTTCTCCTAAATTTTATCTAGTGTTTTTTCTTTTAATTAAAATAAAATCTTAACGATATATATAGATATATATATTTTAATAAAAAGAGTGAATCTCAAAACAAGTCATCAACCTTTAATATATTTTCACTCTAGATCATCAATTAAATTTATTTGTAACATAGGTTACTTTACTAAAGTTTTAATCTATTTCATATTATTCTGTTAATTTTGGCCGTAAAATAGTGACGGAAATCCATTTTTCACATGCTTTTAGGTTTAGGGGTATTTTTGTCATTTTATTATTATTTTTTTATTTTTTGATCTTTTAAATTTTATTTTTTTTACAATTCTTCTTCTTATAATTCCTAACTTGTATACACTGGTAGTATAATTCTAAATTTTAAAAATTTATTTTCCTTTTGTATTTTAACTTCTAAATTATAAATTTTTTTTACAAAAAATTTAAGAAATGAAGAAGAAAAATTCGAGTTAAAGTAAACATAAAAATTAATAATTTACCATTTAAAAAAAAAAAACTAAAAGAATTAGCTAAGACAAGTTGTTTCTTCTAGGTTATTTAATTTTTTTTTCAACTCGATTGAATTATTTAATTATTAATTTTCATGTTTCTTATTCTTTTTTTTTATAATTTGGAAGTTATGATAAACAAATTCATTTTTGAAAATTAATTTGTCATTTGTATATTAACTTGTAGATTATTAAAAAAAAAAGAATAAGAAACGTGAAAATTAATAATTAAATAATTCAATAACTTAGTTGAAACAATTAAATAACCTAGAAGAAACAACTTGTCTTAGCTAATTATTTTAATTTTTCTTTTTGTTTAAAATGGTAAATTATTAATTTTCATGTTTACTTTAACTCGAAATTTTCTTCTTCATTTCTTAAATTTTTTTAAAAAAATTTTATAATCTAAAAGTTAAAATACAAAAGGAAAATAAATTTTTAAAATTTAGAACTATACTACTAGTATAAAAAGTTAGGAAGTATAAGAAGAAGAATTGTAAAAAAAAAAAAATTAAAAGATTAAAAAATATAAAAATGACAAAAATACCCCTGAACCCAAAAACATGTGAAAAATAGATTTCCGTCACTATTTAACGACCAAAATTAACAGAATAATCTGAAATGGATTAAAACTTTAGTAAGGTAACCTGTGTTACAAATAAATTTAATTGATGACCTAGAGTGGAAATATATTAAAGGTTAATGACTTGTTTTGAGGTTCACTCTAATAAAAATTTCATCCCAGTAAATTCCACTTAAATGTGGGTAAAATTCCCATTTGCAACCTATGGTGAGAATCGAACCTGGTCTATTATTAGGAAAGACATCAACTTAATTACTAGATTGTCATTCTCAAAAATCTTAAAGATATATTATAATAATCAGAAGAACATAATAAAAGTGAAAATAAATTTTTAAAGTTTTATTTTCAATTGAAAAAATATATTAAATTAAATTTAAAATAAATCAAATTTCTTAGAATAAGGACCAAAGTGATAATTGTTTATTATGTACTACACAACTTTTCTTTGAGTACATTTATATTTGATTTCGGGTACATTTATTTCTCCGTAACACATCTACAAGGTTACGACTTAAAACCGTATCTCCCAAATTTCACACACAAGCCAGAACTTTCGAGCTTAAATAACTTTGGATTTGGGAAAGGGAGGGGTATTCCTCCCCTGGAAGCACTGGAACCAACCTACAATACACGCGAAACAGACAACATCCTACCTCAAGCCTCAATGGATTGAGCTTTGCAACGGATCAACTTACGGGGAAAATACCTTTAGATTCAAATCCTATAATAATGGAGCAAGAGTTGGACAATCTCAAAAATTGGTCTTTTAGAATTGTTGAGCGCCCTAATTTTCTCATTTGAGCGTCTTAAAAAAATTTAAAAAGACTATTTTACTCTTATTTTTTATTTTTTTTTTTAAAAAGAAGGGAGCGACGAATAATTGCACCAGCCTTTCACGGCTGGCGCAGGAGGAACACGCCATCCGTTCCCGTGAAAGGGTGGCGTACACTTCTCTTGCCACCCTTATTGGGGTGGCGAGAATTTTTTTTGCCCCTTAAAAGGGGGTGGCGCACAAATCATGCGCTACCCCCTCGGTTTGGCGAGCAAACCGCTCGCCAAACCGATTGGGTGGCAGTCTAACTGGTTGCCACCTTTTTTTTAAAACAAAATTATTTAATTTATTTATTTTTTAATTTATTTTTTTAATTCATTTACTTATTTAAGTATATTTATTTATTTGTTTGGCGGTTATATAAATAATTTTTTAATTTAAATATTTAGAGAATTTTGCTTAATTACGTAGTAAATTTATCATTTAATTATGTAAAATTTTTTAAACGTAAATTAAAAAATTATTATTTAATAACAACTAAAACTTATGAAAAGCTATAGACAATGAGAACTTAGTTATTTTGTCATTTTGAGTGACTAAGCTTTAGTTTAAATAAGTTGAAAGATAATTTTTTTATATTAAGTTGGAAGCTAATCAATTATAATTACTTTTTATTAATTAAATAAATAAATTTAAAAAATAAATTAATCAAATAATTTTAAAAAAAATTAATTTCGGTTTTGCTCGCCAAACAAGAAAGGTGGCACCAGATTTGTGCGCCACCCCCATTTTGGGCACAAATTTTCTTTTTGAGAGGCGAGAAAATTGTGCTCCATCCTTTAAAGGGTGACACTTTTCTCCTGCACAGCCGTGAAAGGCTGGCACAATGCTCCCTCGTTCCCTCCTTTTTTTAAAAAAAAAATGTATACAAAAACAAAATAGTCTTTTTAAAATTTTTTAAGACGTTCAAATAAAAAACTTAAAGCGTTCAGTATCCTCTCAATTTCTAAAGTTACAATTTAAGAGGTTAATGAGAACACAAATGTCAATTTTTCTTTTCTTTTTTTGACGACTCTGTATCTGTTGGACCAGAAGGGAAACTCAGATAAGCTCCCTGTCAGAAAAGGAATCTCGACTTGAAGGTGCAACTACAGAATCGCACCAAATAACGGTAATTATACATTACTAAGAATTACAAAGGCAAATATCATTAAAAAAGAACACCCATATCCATCAATTTCTAAATATCGAAAAGAAAACAACTTGTAAATACATCCAAAACCACAGGGGCGATCATAAATTGTATCATCTTAAACAAGATACAGCTCGAAACAACCAGCTTTCCAAAGTACTTGGAGGTATATTAATGCACAATATCAAATCAATCTCCCACAGATTCCAGCAAATATAGATGTCTGCTTAAGCTGTTCCTTTGAACTTTGCGTCGTACTCATATGGTTGCTGCAAAACCAAAAATATAATTCAGTATTATGCTCTGTAAACTAACCAAATAATGCATGGTTCCATAGAAAAGCATCATCATATCCCTACAAGGCATATAGAAACATTCATTCCTGGCAAATAAGTCCACCCACGGGAGAAGTTTCAAACATCTAAAAAGACTCGACAAAATGCAACTTGTACATTTTATTGCAGGCACAGTTCATTTATGAATCGAGTTCAAAGTCTAAACTCTCTCCAAGAACTATTCACGAAAACTTTTTCTCATGCGAAGCACTCAAAAGGTCATGACAAGTTCCCTGAAGGCAGAGTTGAACTAATGGTTAGTTCTCACTAATCTTACAGAAAGAATCCAACTCACACCCTATCACTAATTATGAGTTAAGAGGTACAAAAACAAAAATAAGAGAAAAATTAGATCGTATCTTTCACGTTTAACTTATTCACTCTCTCCCTTTTCTTTCATTGTGAACCACACATAAATTTCCATCATATCAGCTAAGGGAATTTCCCGTAAGATGTTGACATTCATCTTTTTGGAATAAGAAAATGCTCAAAACCAACATTCTAATCTGGGGAAAGGATCCCACACAAGGGGAGTGTTATCGAACAAAGAAACAAGATGAAAACAGCAGATGCGTGAAAGAAATTTCTGTTCTGTAAAAATGATGCTAATTTACAAGTATATCAATGAGATTGACAGGCATGATTATCAAACATCAAGAAGGAAAACACAGGTGATATAGCAGATACATAAAAAGGTTTTTTGTTTTGCTACAAATGAGGTTAACTTACCAAGTATATTGCTGAGATTAATCTGCGAGCAAACCATCGCTTGTGCATGGCTTGTTGAGCACGTGTTGCTGCCTCCACACTCTCGAAACGCAGATAAACATAGCCGGCACTATTCCTGCAGCCCAAAGTCAAATATCAACAGTGTTAACGCTCAATTAATGAAAAACTTTTAGTCACATATCATCCCCAGGTTAAAATTTAAAATCTCCAAGAGAGCAAATTATCTAAGGAAATGACATCTTGAACATAATATTATCCCACTACTGGGAACAGCAAATTATCAAATACTCACTTATCCACGTGAATATGCTTCACCCTGCCATATTTTGAACATTCTTCATGCACATCATCCTTGATATCCAAATCAAATTCGGGATCGGACTGCAAGAAAGAAATTGGAGAGAGATGTTAGCTACCACAAACGAAACAGCCTACACAAGAAATCCATTCAATTTTATGCAATATTTCTCATAGATGCGCCAAAAAGGGACCAACCTCTGTAGCAGGATCAAACATATTTTTTAAAAGCAAGCACTCGCTTGGATTTCCAATTGGAGCTTCAGGGACAACCGCAGGAAAAAATGGAGCTTGCATTGTTGGAGTAACAATGGGCATTGTAATGGGTTGTTGACTTGGAGCTGCCCCATTCAGAGCTGGAACACTGCAAAAAAACTCAACTATATGTTAGCTGTTCAGAGAAAGAATTTCTTATATAAAGGTTCACTGATAACACAAACAAACCTTTGTACAATTCCACTCCGATCCAGCTTCGCCATTAGCATGGCTCTTGATTGAGCATTCAAAGCCTACATGAAACAACAAAGAATAAGCCTGCTGTTAAAACCCACAGTAAAAGATGAAAAAATCCCCCCAGGACACACTACGAAGCTGGAATGGAACACGTGCCAAACTATATGCCTAAGCACAAACAATTCAGAGTATCAAAAATATAAGCCGAACCATGCCTCTTTTAGATACAGAAAAATTTGGAAACCAGATCAGAAACATCTACAACACTAACCAATCCACCACCATCGTCATCATCAAAGTCCGCAGTTTTCTGTCCTGATTCTTGTACTCCAACATGATCTGTAACCGAAGAAACCTGCATGCAAGAAATAGATATTATTACAAGAAGTTAGCAAATAAGGTAAATGGTTGGATTCATGAAGGAATAGAAGTAGGTAAATGGTTGGATTCATGAAGGAATAGAAGTTATGAGGAAACCTTGATAGTTCTTCCAGCAATGTCCAATTTCCCATTCAAAACCTGAGCAGCCTTTGCATGCTCGAGATTAGCAAACTAGACAGCAGAAGTATGAGATAATTAGATAACTTTCAGGAAAAATTACTAATTCAACCATTGTACTTAAAAAGAGATTTGAGGGATACTGACTTGCACAAAGCCAAAACCTTTGCAATGCCCCGTCTCAGGATCAGTTGGTAGTTGAACAAGTTCAACAGTTCCAAATGCTTCAAAAATCTGATAAAATAAGATCGAAGCACACAAATCAGAAAAAGATAACAAACGAAACTAGCAGAGAAATTGTTAAGCACGAAAGAAGGTACAAGCTGATTACAAATGTCAGAAATTTTCCAAATGGTGATGAAACGTCTCACCATGACATTAAATGAAATAAAAATAATAATAATAAAAAAATTATTCAACAATACAACACTTCAATTTAAAAGATCTCAGAGACCCACCTGTTTAAGCTGAAGCTCAGTCATGTTGAAATGCAAATTTCCAACGTAAAGTTTTCTATCTGTTGCACCATAAGGGCCAACAACACTTGAACCACCAGATGTATTTGACTGGACAAGATTCTTTTCTGCCTCTGAAGGTTTAACCATCACAGGTTGCCCCATAAGTAGTTGCCCCGATAAAGCAATCGCCACAGGCACTGACATTGCTTCTTTGAATTCAATATACCTGTAGAATTACAAGAAATCCAAAAATAATGGATAGCTCAGTACAAGAGCAAGGAACAACACACAAACCATTCAAATTTTGGATGCAAAAGACCTACAAGAGATGTATCATTGATAGCCACAGAGAATGAGATGAACAATATTTTTGGCCATAAAAATACACACCAGTTGGAAGAAAGAAAGAAAGAGAAAGAAATGAAAAAAAAAGAAGAAGAAAAGGTTTCTGCATCATTAGTAGAAGAGTAAAAAAATTCTCAGAGATTGGAATCTATAGGGAAAATCAGGGTAAATACACTAACCCCTGACCAATTCATGTGCAACATTATGAGGCAGGCAATTAAAAAAGCCATTCAATATCACAACATAGCAACTGTCTGTTAGAGAAGACATACCCAACTCCTTTGGACCGTCTGGAATTCCGATCCATAATCAGACGAACATCCCTTACCTGGAGAGAGGAAATAGCAATTAGAAACACATAAAAATCTTTTACGAGCTATTAAAACTCAATCTTAGCATTAGAATTAACCATCTATGATCCTAGGACAATTTACTAAGTCATAACATGATCCAGCAACACAAAAGTCAAAATAATCATGGGAAATATCATTAACAGTCACAATCTACGCCCAAGAAGTACCAATAATAAATAAGAGCACTAAATTAAGCATGGAAGGCCATAAGCACAAATACGATGAGGAACTAATTTAAAATCTTGTCTAGAGAGAACAAAAAAGACAACCTGGGAACCATATGTATATGATAAAACATTGCTCTATCAACATTTGAGATAATTAAGAGAAGTAAGAAAAATCCACCAACCTCTCCTGCTTTTGAGAAAAATTCATACACATCTCTTTCAGTAGCCTTCAGCGGCATCTGCAAAAAGGGATGAAACCCTGTCAATGAATTTCTCTGCAAAAGAATCTTTCATGCCTACAAACAAAATAGATAATTCCAATTTCCTCCATCACCCATATCAAAAAAAAATCCCATGATTAATTTACCTGGTAAGCAAATACAGTTCTTTGATCCCTTTCAGGATCAGCTTCAGGCTCTGCAGTTTCTTTCTTGTCCCTGAATCTCCTGCAAAATGACTCCAAAAATAGTAAGAACAAACCACATGGAGAGTGTTTCACATATTCATAACATTGAAACTAATATATCCGCTAAACAGTCTTGTAGAAACACTTATCTCAACCTCACCACACGACCTCCTCTCTAAAGAGAAAAGATTCACCCTCCTTATATTCCAAAACAGCACCCTAGTTTTCATAAACCAAATTGTTTTCATAATGCAAATATTTACAATTATAAATACAGAATCTTGTACATCATGTGAAGTTAAGAACTTCTCAGTAGGGAATCATCGGAAAAGCAAAAGTGCAAATTACAATTATTGTGATCATCTGAAAGCCCCACACACTCGGATAAATCTGCAAGGAATTTAGAAAAAAAGACATGTTTCATTATGGTAGATAGTTTTGGGCCAAGAGCTCTTTTATCAGTAACTCAAGAAATTTACATACAAGGAGCTACTAATCAACCAACTTTGCTTGAAATTTAATAAGAACTCAGGCCAAATCTCCAATCAGTTCTTTCTACAAAGGCACATTCTGGCTTATAATTTCGCGGGGGAAAACGGGAGATCTTAAATAAAACTTTCAAAAGGTTCCCTATATCACTTATCAGAAGGTTTTAAGATGCTTTGAGTGTGTACTTTAAAATTATTTAAAATTAATGGGCAATTCCTACCAAAGATTCCCTATTCTAATCCCTGTTTCCCAATAACGTGAGAACCAGAATTATAGAGGTAAAGCATATTCGTCTTCGTAGTGAACAAAAGGCTGGAAAAGTGATACAGCCTCACCACATGCGTTGCCAACCTAAAAATTCAACACATCATTGGTCAACATCCCAACTCAGAGGTAAGAAAATAAGCTTAATCCAGCTATGCAAATACATCAGAAGGATTGAAGAGGGGGCCAAATCTCAGGCCGAAAAGGAAAACACAACAGACCTTATCAAACCAATAAGTGGAAAAGCCACTTTCTTCAGACAAGCCTTGAAGAAGTTTCCGCATTGTTAGCCCACTAAGATGCATCTACGATTTCAATCCAAGTTAGAATGTTACACGCTCCATGCACAATTACTTTATTTCAGCACTTAGCCAGTTTACAAATTGTTTCTTCCTTTTTATCCATTAAAAAAGATTAAATTACACATGCAACCAAAACCAGTGCACACACAGCAGTCATCTTATAAAGGACAACATTCACCAACATTTCCTTTGATCAGTAACTGTACGAATTACCGCAAACCAAGATCACATTCATTGACAGTTACAATTGGCTATCAAGGACAATAGACAAAGACCACACACATTACTCACAGAAATCTAGGGGTACAAAAACAACACCTCTACAAGGAAAAAGAACAGGAGAAAAGTGGTAAAGTTCAATTGATGCACATTTGGAAACAACTGAACCTAAACACATCAAACTTGCACCACACAAACTTCCCAATTTGTCCTGTACACTCCACATCACCAGGAAAAAAAAACCCTTACACCTATTGTAGACACAGTTTCAAAACTTACAATAACACATTAAGCACAATTATCAGCTAACATATTCAAAACAGCCTAATATCATGAATAATCAATACAATCTTAAATATGAAACCTCCCATTCTAAAGGGATTAATAGATAGAAGATTCGAAAAGGCAAAAACATCACCTGCTGTCCCTCCTCTCAAGCTCGCGATCTCGCTCCCTGAGCAGTTCTCTCTCCCTTTCACGATCGAGCCTAGACCTGCTCCTGCTCCTCCTGGACCTCTCTCTTTCCTTCTCCTTCTCCCTCTCTCGTTCCCTATCCCTATCTCTCCTTTCTCTGTCTTTCTCCTTATCCCTATCCTTGTCTTTATCCCCCCTCTCCTTCTCCTTATCCCTCCTCTCCCTATCCTTGTCCCTATCCCTATCTCTCTCCCTCTTCTCTCTGTCTCTGTCCCGCTCTCTGTCTCGTGAACTTCTCTCGCCGTCCCTCTCCCTACTCCGGTGTCGCGAACTCCTATCCTTCTCCTTATCCCTATCGCGGTCCCGGTCACGCCCGTTCTCCTCGTCGCTGCGGGATTTCTTGCTGGAATGTCTCCGATCTTTCTCGCTCTCATCCGCATCAACATCGTCTTCGTCACGCTCCTTTCGCCGGTGACCTTTTTCCTTCTCCTTCTCAACCGAATCTCTGGAATCCTTCGTCTTGGAGGAGAGTCCGTTAGTCTCCTCCACAGTTTTCTCTAAATAGTCGTACTCGTCGAAGTCCATGGCTGGATTTCTCCGACTGAGGCGGTGAAAGCAGTGCCGCCGGTGAGGTTATCAATTCCGGAGGTTAAAAACCTGTTTTCAGTCGGGGGAGTATTGTAGTTGTAGAAGGGAGAAGATAGTTTTATGAAGTGAATTTGGGGGTATTAGGGTTTTTAAGGGGATAAAATTGGGGATACGCGGGACTCGCGTGGAATTAGGGCGGTTCGTTAAAATTACTTCTTTATCCCTCGCTGCCTGGTCATTACTCAGCTAGGTGTTACACCCCAAATCTCTTCTTACGAATTTGGCGATCTACCGACGTGAATTTTACCCAATTGAAACCCAGCAGCCTACTAAGTAATCACGCAGCGGAAAAAATTTGCTTAGGAACATACCAAGAAATCATTTCAAGTCACACAAACATTTATATCTTGGACTAAAATCTCAATCACTTGTAATTTTATTACTTAACACAGAACTTACGAGAGATTCACGTCTCCAATGAGACCGGAACCTAACTCTAGGCTCTCATTTCCCAGCCAACAATTTTTCGGGCTTGCCTATTTCCCCACACAAGTCTATTTTTGGGTTAGATTTCTCCCCAAACTTTCAAAACTCAAGGCATTTTTACATCTTGCCTTCTCTCTCTTCTCCCTCTTGATTTCAGCCCTTCTACATCTCTATAAAGAGAAATGAAGTAGTTGACATCCCCAACTACCTGCGACAAAGAATGAAATACAAGTTAAATAGCTTATAAATGCAAACTACTAAAATAACGACCCACTAAACAGCTTGTAACCAATTTGTAACCACCCACTCTTTTTCATTTAGCCTCCCTTTCCCTTCTTGCACACGTTCAAATCACTTCCAACCCGTGATTCGAACCATCAACACTTGCTAGCAACTCATCTTAGCCGCTCAGCAACACTTCGTAAGTATCAACTCAAAGAAAAGTCATAGGTAATATTTTACCTCCTAACACTAGGCCAGTAGACCCTTTGTCATTTCAGAAGCTGTATATATTAAACTAAAAAAGTTACTGGATTTACAGTCATAAAAAGTTACTGTAAAATAATAAAAGAATAAAAGATTAATCAATATATCTATCTATATATTAAAGGAGAGTTGATCATTGAATACGTGTCGCTCAATTAGGCCTTAATAGGTTTCGTTGACATATTTCGTTTTATAATTGGCTCATCATTAAACTATTGCCATATGTCATTTTATTATTGGCTCATCATTAAACCATAAAAATATTATGTAAAAGAGTAATTCCCTTTCACTTTTACTAACTAAAAGATTAATAGGATCGTTTAAACACCGATTTTGGGTCGATTGCAATTAATCCGATTTAAACATCCAAAGCATGTAGTCTCTTTGAAGTCCCGTTCAATATCAATGCAGGCCCAACAAATATTTTTCGGAAATAATTGGCCCAACAATTAACCCTAATTCTATTATAATATATAGCTAATATTAAGTTGCATTAATATAGTTGTTTTGGGCATCAAGTTTGGAATCATAATCTTGGTTAATTTTTAAAAAATCAAAATATAAAACCAAATCAACGACCTTAAATTATAATGAGATATTTAATTCTTTCCAAAAAAAATATTTTAATCGTATAACTTGCATGATATGTTGAGTAGCGGCCACTCAATTGAAATAATTTCATTAACCTTAATTCCGTGATTTCTTCCAGTTTTTTAGCATAAATAGGTCAATATTTAAACGAAAAAAATACAAACTCCATTGCAACCTTATGCTTCATATGGATGACAAGGTGGAGATTTAGTTTTCATTGTTAATTTTTTTAGTTATTTTATGCTGGATGAATGTGTATTAGACGTCTTTTGTGTTTATATGTTGGTTTTTGAAACTTGCAGCATGATGAAGATGAAGGTACTTCGAACTCCGACCAACTTCCGGCCTATATTTATTAAGATATACACATCTTGCCCAAAACTTTCTGTTTAAGGTGGTGTTTTTGGTCTTGCATCATTCCCTACATCTATATTCTTAATTTTATTCGTTATGAAATCTCTATACACATAAAAACTATTTTTAGCTTTCAATAAATTGTTTTCCAATGATACCAAGATGTTTTGCCTCCCATAGACTTTATTATTGAATTTTTTTGTTAAGTTGTTACTGTAAATTTATTCTTTCTTACTTTTAATTTACTTTAATTTAGTTTTAATGTCAATTTATTTTTTTTATAGTTACAGACTCTAGGATGAAAATAATCTTTCCTAATTTTTGTTTGGCACATCGCGTAAGAATCAATATTCTAGGCATTATTCGATTACAAAAATCAAATTTGATTTCCTTTCCTAAATTTTTTGTTCCAATCAAGTAAAATATTGAGAAGTGGACTCACCATCGAATTTTTTCCTTTTTTATTGACATTCATATCAATCGCAGAAGGTGTTGAGTGGCGGTCTCAGCATCGAATTCTTTCCTTTTTTTGGGCAAACGGAGGATTTTATATGATATCATATTCGCCTTCCTGAGTTGCCTCCAACCGAAACCCTAATTGGTGCCCCCCATATACTATAACTTCTATACTTAAATGCTTCGATATCGGCGACCTTCTCTGCCCTCCCAATTCCCATCCATAATGAGAATCAGCTAGGATATTTGAAACCAGCAGTGCTATTTTCATTGAAACTACCTCTTCTCGCCGACCTTGATCAAGTTGTTTATTTCGAGATGCTGTTGATGAAAGAATAGGCCTCTCAATTATTAGCTTTATATTGGTGAATGAAAGTGAATGCTTTTCTGTATTTTTTCAAAATCAGTGAGCCTTTTACCGGATTTTTTTGCCTTTTTGTTTTTCTCTTAGTTTTAATATGGATTTAGTTTTTTTTTTCGAGATCGAAGTGACAATCAAAACCACTGTCTGGTCGAATCCCAACTAGGCAACGGAGACCGGGCACTAAATATGCTATCCATTTTTGTGAATGGGATTAGGAGGAGTTTTTGCGAATCAAATGGTGAAGTGGGATGCCAAGTCCCGTGAAGATCTCACTAAGCTCCTTGCCGAAGCCAAACAACCTAACCAGTATGGCCGTGGTTTTAATCATCTTCTTGCCTGAAATGTTTTTTTTTTATTTAGTTAGGATATTTTATGTTTTCTTAATTATGTTTTAAGTAGAAAGTTTATGCTTTTGTTATTATGATGTTGATGTATGTTTTTTTGATGGCTAAATCTTTTTCCACTTTTCAATTTTGTTTTATGTAGTTACCTTTTACTCATCTTCAGAAGCATTGGATGGCTTTTTAAGCTTGAAAATTTTGGAGTTTGACGGCACCGAGCGAGGTCTTTAATTGTCCATTTGGATTCTAGGTTTCTGATGGTGTTAGATTGTTGCTTCGGAAAGGAGGATGATGCTTTTGATAGATGATCCAAAGTGATCTATTACTAATGTATAGGTGGTCATGGTTCTTCAGTCTCTAGCTTTGGTATGCTTCTTGATGTTTTTTTGGAATTTTTCTATCTTACATAATTACATCCTATAAGTGTGTACCAACGGCTTCATAACCCTACATGATGCCTCATTCTACCTAAAGAACATTTTCAATGTTTTATTACGAGATGCGGATTAGGTTAATCACTTAAATTTTGAATATTGATTTTGTTCTAATCGAATTTCGTTTTCTTCGTGTGTTGCAAGATGAAAAATAAAGGGTTCTATGTTGAAGTAAGGATCCTAAAAATGGTTCATCTTTTTTTTTTTTTTGTGCCTGAAATCATACACGAGACATGTGTGTCTATATGCCAATGAAGATCACATAAATAAAATCCCTTTTCTTCTTTCTCCTTTTGGTGAACTCTTTGGGTTTTAGTTGTAACGCCCCGGAAGCAGGCTCCTCCCGTTGACAGTGAAGAAGCTGTGCTCGGGCGTCGGCCTGACTCTCGTCAGGACTCAATAACAGTCGTTCGGTAATCATAAGCAATTAAGTGATGTAAATTGTTTTGATATTTTATTTAATATATAAAAATTTGGGCTAACTATTACATTTTCTTTTCTAAAATCGGGAGTAATTTCAGAACATTACACTACGATAGTTCCAATTCTGACAAGTGCATTTATCGCACAGTTAAATTTTTTAGTCTTATTTCGTGGTATTCATTAACTGTAAGGAAAACAAAATTGAAGGAATGAGCTAAAGCCCAGTGAGGTCTCATTCAAAAATTAATACAATAAACAAACAATCACATATAAAAATCCGAGTCTCATAACGAGTTTAATGAATAAATCATAGAGGTCACACATAGATAAAGGATATTGAGAGTGCAAAAGAAATCCACTCCGAGTCAATATTGACTAGAGAAATTGGAATGGATTTCTAATTACACTCAGAACAGTGATCTTAGGTTTACTTGCCAATCGAGCGATCACTTGCGTATCTCGTCAACCACGCATAACACTAATTTTGGTACCAATCACTGTGGTAAATTTGCATATTACCGTTCACTACCTTCAAGTTTCTCTAGCCGATGATCAAGCCGAATACCGACTCGTCGGTTTCGATTCACTAAAAGGCTTGTGGATCCACTTCACTTCACACACATTCAATGGAGCCATTTTGCACGAATAACACTCAATAAATTTAACAATTTTCGGAGTGATAAAGTACACACCGATCATATATAATAAATTAAATAAAATCACACAGTATTAATATTTTAATGAGAATACTCACTTTGAACATCTATGTAAAAAATAATCACTGAAATGAAGTTGAATTATTGCGCTTTGCACAAGAGTTCTTATGCAAAGCGCAAGTAATGGGTCGTTCGGCCAAAAAAATTTAAAAGAATTGATGTGAATAAAAAAAATTTACTTTAATTTTGGTGAACATAAGTAGTTGTTTCAGATTTGGCAAATCCAAGAGTCTAATTAATCGTATTTTTGGATTTGGCTAATCCGAAACAATAAAAAATAATAAAATTTTAATTTTTTTAATTATCTTGAAAAAAAAAGGAATCGATGTCAAAATGTGTACAGTAA